AGGGGGGGTGTGCGTACCCCCGCCCGCCCCCGCCCCCCCCCGCCGCAGGTGCCGCCGGGAGCGCTGCCGCCTCACCGCGGGCGGCCCACCGGCTCCCGGTCCCAAACCGAGCCCCCAAGCCCGACCCCGGCCCCCGCGTACCCGCTCGCCCTCGCTGGGGTTCTTGTCCGGGTGGTACTTCAGCGCCAGCTTGCGATAGGCGCGCTTGATCTCCTCGGAGGAGGCATTGGGTTTCACCTGCAAGATGTCGTAGTACTCCGTCTCCTTCACCATGGTGCCCTGCAGAAGGACGCTCCGCGTTAGTGACTCCCCGCTACCCCCCCGTCACGCCCCCGCCCGGGACGCGCGGCCCAGAGCGGGCCACCCCCGCCCGGCATCCCACTGAGGCCCACCGGGCCGCGCTCACCACCACGGAACGCCCCGCTCCTGCCGCCCCGCTCCTGCCGCCCCGATCGCCGTTGCTCCGCCTCTTCCGCGGGGTTTTATATGGGCGCCGGCCGAATCTTCTGGAATGACGCCGCCCTACGTCACGGCCTTGGAACGGTCTAGAATTCCCGCGCGTGACGTCATCGCCGGTACGTTCCCGGGGGGGGAGCGGGGGGGGAACTGTTTTTCCGCCCGGCGCCTCAGGAGCGGAGGTGGGGGGGGCGGCTGTGAGGAGAGGGGAGACGCCGCACTGTGGCGGGAGCGGCCCGGGCAGGTCACTTCCCGCCTTCCTCCTGGAGGAGGAGGAGGAGGAGGAGGCGGCGGCGGCTCCGCTGAGGGGCGGTTTTCTTTCTGTCAGGTATCATGGGCTTTGGTCACTCAAGTGCAATTTCACGTCAGCCTTCTTAATCGGTGGTAGTTTTCCTTCCTTTCTCTCCCGTGAAATGCACTCATTCGCATCTGGCCCTCCGGAGAGTCCGACGAGCACCCTCGTACAAACTTCCCCGCTCCTGGCAAGCGAGCGCTGGCTGCGTGTAAAGAAGTGGGTCTCGTTAGTTAATAAAGACTGGATTTCTGACGCCTTTTTCCTCAGTGTTTAGGGCGTTTTAAAATTAATTGGGCAAAAGGGCCCCCCCCCCCCCCCGCTCTGCATTTGTTGCTCGCCCTTTCTTCAAGCCGGCCTGCCGACAGTGGGCTGGGAAGCTGGGTGAGTTTTCATCTGTCTCCAAGCGACCAAAGGTCTTCAATTAATTATTCAGCGCTCAGGTGAAAGGAGGTAGCTGGTACTGCTGTGGGAGCTGAGTAAAAGCGTGTTTTCATAGATGACAACAGATCAAGGTTGAAAATGACAAGTGAAAAATACAGAAAAGCTGTATGAACTAAGAACAGATCTTGTTCAAACTCGAGTAGAAATGCTTACAATTACTTTTTATTCCAGGAAACAGTTCTTTATTCCTGGAAACAGCTCTATAAAACAAGAACATCTCCTCTGGTTATGATAACCCAAAGGCTGCAGTGCTCTGACAATCGCAGTACAGGTAAAAAGTTAAGATGACCATAAAGAAAAGAACCGTGTTGCATTGCCTAACAGTGGAAAACAAAGGAAAAAAAAAAAAAAAAGAAAAAAAGGCAGTGTGGATTTTGAATGAAAATTTTTGATGGTTTAAAGCTCTAGTGTCATTATAATGAACTTTCTACTGTATTTCACGTAAAAACTATTAGAAGATTGAATTAATGCGATCTGTTCTTTGTGTACTCCTGCTTCTATTGAGCATGTAGACTTACTAAAGGAGGGGGAGCTAATCTACAGGAAAATAACCCAAAATATCAATGAAAGGAACAGTTCAAAACCACAAGAAAGAAATGAGCGTTGGTAACTATTATTTTCTTTTAAGCGTAATTATCAGCAGCTGAACTTGTAAAGCTGTGTTTTGCAATTGTGAATTTATATTGAAAAATAAATACAGAAATTATTTTCTGAAATAACTATAGTAAGTTACTCTGTAAACTTGTAGGCTGAGAATTGTGTGTCCCTTTTTTAAGGGGGAAAACCCAGTTTATTTAATAATGGTGTTCACCTTAAAGATAAATTAGCTATAATCCTATAGTCCTGAAGATAATATTCCTGTGTAAGAAGAAATGATAAATCTGTTAATAGCTTTGCCGTAGCTGAATGCTTCAGCGGGTGACAGGCTTTCAAAGCACATAATGAATGTCACAGATCAATTTATAGTACGTTGTAAAGAGACAGTATGTAATTTCTGTGAGTAGAAACCCTAATGTAGGTATCCATAGATATTGGTAAATATAATATGAACTCAGACTCGTGGGTGGTTTCTTACTAGTAAGAGCCAAAAACTTTGCTGGTATGGATCTTTGCTTAAGAGGATTGAGCCTGCTGCTTTGTTTACTTTCCTTTCATTTTATTAGAGGGAGCTATCAGGTTATATTTACTTTTATCTTTAATAGTCAGTATTTGTTTTCTCCATCTTTGGTTCCAGTTGGTACAACCAAACTCCTTATTTATTCAAAGAATTAGTGGGAAAAGTAGTAAGGGCTGGTGGTTTTGATTACAAAAATAGGAGAGAGATCAGTCCATCAGTATTCTTCACATCATCATCTGCATCTCCTGCATCGCTCTAGTCTGGGAACTGCAGTCATCCTGGTACCTGTGGGGAATACACTACTTCTCTAGCTGTCTGAAGCAAAACATTTCCTATTTATCAATACTGTATTTATGGAACAGAGTTGGAATCTTCAGTAGCTGATTTTACTTATTTTATTTGTCATAATTAGTAATAAATGTAATACAGCCTGTAGACATATTTCTCACCAATTACAGTGGTGGTTCCTCTACTCAACAAACCTGGTGATCAAGTGTGTATATGCTGAGTTCTGTTTCTTTTGCTACACACCTTGCCTCCTTAAGTCTGTGGTTGTTCCTAAGCAGTAGTTGCTTATACATTTCTCAGATGAACAGCTGATCTCTTTTACTATTCTTTCCCTTACTTTCTCTCCTGCTGCACGTAATATTATGAATGACTTCGTCATTTTTTACTTGCACAGTATCAAATTTGCATGTAGGTGTAAACAGGAAACCTACCAGAGAATTTCCGTTCTCTGCAAGTAGGCAGGGCTGGACTGGGATTGGGGAATAATTAGATCCTACTGCCAGTTTCTTTTAACCACCAGAGGACTCTGCCTTGGGTTCTGAAATAGGTATTCCCACTGTTGGTACAAAACAAGTCAAAACACTGCCTCACACCTGGCCTTGGGAGCACACAGCATCTTTATGTGCTACAAGAATTATGCATTTATCTTTTAATCTCTGCTATATGAAATTCGCATGGAATCTCCTTGTTTGCATTTCCGTCTTTTATCTGGCCATGTTACCATTTCTCATTAATCATGCCTTCTAAACTGTGAAGCTGTTGTTGGCAACAGCATCCTGGAGACAGAGGTAAGAGTACAATCTGCTGAATTGCCGCTGCGGTTTCTTGCAGCACCCTTGATTTTTGTAAAGAAGTTCCAAGAATAACTTTCATTATGAACACCTGAAAAAAAAAGCAGGAATCTGAGGGCTTGAAACTTGTGTCTGTTTTCAGTCACACTAAAGATAATAGTGCATATATAATATAACGCATAAAGAGCTTGAGTAGTCCTTCTGGAAGGTAAAATCAGAATCACAACAGACTTTCCTTGGTGTTGAGCTGGATTCTTTCAGCATCCAAACCTGAACAGGTACCATGATTTCTACAAAGCTGTTAGGAAAACACCCTTTAAATAATACTTTTAACCTATGACTTTTAGTTTTACTTAAAATATACTTTAAAAGGGCTATTTAAAGTATAACAGTTTCATGTAATGGATCTTTAATGGTACTGGAACTTTTTACCCATAATTAATATCTCTAAAGGATGTTTTGTACAGAAACAAGCTCTTCGGAAAATCTTTTTGCCTGTGATGGAAAGTAAAAGATCGTATCTGCAAGAAAATTTAAATGATGGCATTTGTTTTGAGCTATTATAGGGCAGTGTATAGTGAGTGACTAGCATCTTTAGAGGATTTTTCTGAGGCAAGTTTTAATTAAAATGTGCAACAATCTGTAGTAATTAATTTTAATTCCTAGTAATACAGAAGGAGTAAGAACTGTTTTCGTAGTACAGCTTTGACTGGTTAAAGGCTGGGCATCTCTAAGTGGTTTGGGCCTGTAGAAAATTTGACTGCAAATATGACGGGTTAAATGAACACCTAGAGGTAAATGTGAAAACGCAAGCTATTTAATTTGACTCTAAACCAATCTTTTCCTTAGAAAGAAGCAGCAAAATTGTTTCTAGATGTGCGTGTCCTCAGACCAACTGTCTTCTTGACCTGACAGGATGTTCTGCCTCTTCCCAGTTGCTCAGAAACAGCTGCCTCTTTTTCCAGATGTGCATTTGCAGCTACTTTTTTTTTTTTCTTTATGATTCTCTTCCTTAATTAGTACAAACTGGTAGTTACAGGCAAATCTAAGATGCTTTCGTTATTGGCACTCAGACTCCAGAACCTTTGCACAAATTAATCTGTGTTTTTTCTCTGTATTGTTGTAGAACAATTCCCTAGAGAGCAGAATGCATTGTTCAGAAAGGCAAAATGAAATTCCTGTTGCTGTGGCATGGTCAATGAGAGAAAATATTTTTACAGAGAGATTGCTACTGGAAATTTCGAGAAATATTAATACATGAAGCTGGTTATGCTTCTGGATAGCAAAGTGTTTTGTGGGATAAACTGCTTCACCTGGCGAATGTACATGAGGTAGTCTTGTTGTTTTTGCCTACAGATGCTGATTTGAGTATGGATAAATTCTCTTCAGTTTTGCAAGTATGGGGAGACACAGCTAGGGGTAAAAGTTGTCCTTTTCCTAATCTGAATTCCTTCATTAGAAATGAATTGGTATTAAAAGTGTATGTGAGTTTAAAAAGATGTTGCTTACCTGGGGCTTTTCATTATGGAATCTGCCCTCAGCATCTTCTCCTTGGCCCAAGCTAGCGTAAATTTGTTGATCTTTAAGGTAAGCGTTGAGACTCATTTGTTTACTAAGACTTAATGGAGGCTTAGCCACAGTAATGTTTGAAGACATCTTTGGGTTTAGAATTTTGCTTAAACTCTGAAACTTACTCTTGTTTAAGAGTAACTGTGGAGTTGATTGTGTTTTTATTTTAGCTAAAATGTTTTAGAGGCCAAAATTAAATCTTTAATTTTATGAGAAATGGGGGGGGGGAGGCGGAATATCTGTGAATGTGTTGTGTGTGAAAGCTGTATATAATCACAGTAAATGCAGTTAACAGCCGTCCAGGAACACAGCAGACAGCATGCTGCAATTAGTAGCAAGTTGAAAAACTGCCATGCTCGAAGAGGGCTAATTTGAAATAATGAAAAAAAAGATTAGAATTGGTGCCCGTTTTGTAAATAAATGTAACAAAGCCTTTGAAATAAAAACTGTAAAGGTTATTAGATGTTTTGCTGGCGGTTGTTGTGGGGTGAGGGTTTTTTTT